CTGCTAGTTGGTGTTCATGGATGTGCTCTGCAAGCCTTCTGCCTGTCTGTCCTACATAGTGTTACCTTCAGAGTCCTACAGAGTGTTTCCTTCTGTTTTATGGGCTTTTTCACAACATCTGGTTGGCCATCTTGGATGCAGAGAGCTGGACTTCTTAGTAGGTCTTTGATCTGATCCAAGAAGCTTTGTACATTTTTATCCTAGCAGCCATCTGCTCATCATGACTATAAATAATAATAATTGGGATACCCAGTTCCACATCTGTTAAAAAAAAAGAAAGAAAGAGAACCTGTGTGCGAACGATAGAAGGAAAATGCTAATATTTCCTCCTCAAAATCTACTCAAGAGATACATAACCAATGTCCTTTGAAAGGCTTAGTTTCAGCTTCCCTTAATTGAAACCAACTGTAAATTGTAATATGACAGAAATAGAAAATTATTAAATATATGTGAGTGCTGTAATTGTTTTCATTAAATTGAAATTAATTGGAATCGAATATAATTTTGGTCTTGTCTTTGGCTCCAAGAGCAGTGGGCTCTTGTTACGCTGATCGAAGATTGAATAAACCTTTTTGTCCAAAAAAGGTTGTCCAAGTCTTGGCAGAACAGACATTCCCAATTCACTTTCTATGAATAATGATACCAGTGCTGAAATATTACCATTTACAATCAGGTGTGGTGAAACATATTCTCATAACAGAGCATATATATATAGCTCAGGGCTGAGTTCTTGGGTTCTTGGTGTTCTCTGAGCTTGCTTCTCTTCCTGCAGACATTTCATTGCCAGGCTAGGTAACATCATCAGTGTGGAAGGGAGTGGACTTTGCGGGCTGCTTATATGCTCTCTCTATAAGCCATTCAAGAAAGAAAGCAACAAAAGGTCAAGGAAAAAGGAAAATAAGCCTTAAACATATCCTTTCCCATCACGTCCCAAAAGCCAACACTCAGGAGCAGGAACCAGCTCCAGATAAACAAGAACAATCAAAGAACAAACTGTATCCCACCCAAAAAGCAATCAAGGAAGAAACAATACTCCAATGAAGCTAGTAAGACAAACTGTATAAATAGCAACAAATTCCACTCCCACCTGCACTGATGATGTTACATAGTCTGGTAACAAAACATCTTCAGAAAGATTAGCAAGCTTAGAAAGCACCAAGAAAAATATTCTCATCTATTCTAAGGATTTTGGAGAAGGGTGCATAAAGCAAATGTTGGTGATTCTCTGGTAATGGGGACACCACCATTTCACAGGCACAATTTGGTTCTCCAGGATAGGAAGCGTGATCCAATTAGGTAGCACGCTGGTCATTCTTCTTTTTTTATCTCATCTAACAGCCCGCTCTTCGTAACGTGGAAGATTGGTCGAGACAAAAGGTTGCGTGGATGTATAGGTACCTTTTCTGCCATGAACCTGCATTCAGGACTCAGGGAGTACACACTTACTAGGTAAGATTTTGTTGTTGTTCTCTTAACTTTGAGCGGGGTGTGCGTGTGTGTAATTTATATTACTTACATTGCTAAATTGGCCCACTGGAATTTTTGAGTTTCTGCTGCTCGATAAGATTTTTTCCAAGCATTCCCAAGTCTTGTTATCTAGGTTTGTTTGTTTTATCCTAAATCCTAAAATAGTCTGTAACTTGAGTATTTGCTGACTTCTCTCCTAGTATTTCTCTCCAAAAAGCAGACAACTTCAGCTCTATTACTTTTTTTGAACTTGAGGTTGAAAGACAGGGGGAAGAAAGTTAATGTCTGTGAAAAAACATGTCCAGAAATCTAAAATGGCTGGCATTTTCTCCATTTCTCCAACCAGTACTTCCTGCCAGCTACATTTCATTTAATATCCCTCATTCTCATTACACATTTTTCTTTGGCTACGTTCTTGCTCTTGAGTGGAAACCTGCTGGATTAGGGAGGTAAGTAGGAAGAACGCTTTACTATCCAGAGTCTTCATGGCCTACAAGTCACATCTAGACTAGTTCATTTTTGTGTTGTTGTTGTTGTCTTTCCTGGTGTAGTGTTCATCAACACATCAAACTATAGCATTTGTAGTTAGTCTTGTACTTTAGGATTGGGGGGGTTGGTAAGGATAGTATGTTTTTTGATTGGTGCACTAGACTGGAGATTGTTGATAATTTCTCTATAGGGGAATCCAGGGGCTGGAAGTGTATTCTGCCACACCTATGACCTGTTCCAGCCTAGTGTTGGTCATAACGTTATACAAACTAGACATAGATAGAACATCACATTGATACCCATCCTCTAAAAGGCATTGATCCTGTTAAGGACAAAAGGCCTAGAATCATGTAGTCATATTAAGGCCTTGTTGTAAGGGAGGGAGGTTGAGAATAGTTTTGAGGAGAAGAATAAAATAATGTTTCTCTTCCGGCTGTCGGTTTTCCCCTTTCGTGCTAAAAGAATCAAGCAAATGTGTGATAACTATTTGAGACTTTGGACTTGTTCTGCCAGTCAGAATACTGGGCTAGATAGCAGAAGCCTTTCTGTGGCTCCTGTAAAGCTTGAGCACTTGGCTGTGGGGCAGCAAGTCCTAAATATGTGAAACTTTTATAGCAATATGATGGGGAGATAGGCTCTTGTGAAAAAAAGAGGAAGAGAAAAGAGGCTGTTTTCCCTTTCCTTCCAAAATATGTAAGTGTTGAACCAAAAGACAGGCTTGTTTTATGACATGGCACGTATCTCCAAGTGTTCCAGCTGAGTTGGACTACAAGAATTCCTGTTATCCTAGGCAAGATGGGCCACTGGGGACATCTGTCTGGACAAGCCTGCTCTAAGCTCTAAAAGCTAAAGCAGATCCACAGCCTCTTCTCTTTCCTATCCCCAAATCCCCCCACTTCGTTTTTATTTCCTTTTCCAACTGGCATCTCAGTATGCTATAGAACTTGGGAGCACCTGGGCATTTGCCAGGTCATTTTGGAATTGTTCCTTGCAATATTCTTTTAAATTTAGAAATAACATTTTTCTGTACCAGGAAGTCTCCTGGGCATTAGAAAGTATGCCCTTATTTTAGAGTGTTTTGTTTCTGAATTAAGTACAAAGTCTGGTGGCCAAGTGCCTGTTGTGGCGGTGATGATGCATATAACCCATTCAGTGTTCAGACTGCTTTAGCCAAAGACTTTCATGACATTTAGACTTTTTTGTATGCAAGGGCCATGTTTGAAAATTGCTTTCTTTTGCTTAGCAAGTGAATCACGGGCTGTAAGTTTTAATGGCACCTTGATTAAAATTTGCTAGCTTGGTGGGGATATAGAAAGACAGAACTTTTTAAAATAAAATGTAAAATGAAAGAAGGGCTCTGTGGCTGAGCTTGTGGGCCTCCAGTTCTTGGGCTAAATTTATTCTTTGAATGGGAACATTAGGATTTCAAGTCATGCAAGCTAAAAAGATCTTTTGATTTCCCTTTCAGCTCTGAAGGCAAAGTATTAATCTGGGAAGACCCTCCAATAAATTGTTATCTGGTACCTGGAAATATAATTTCCATCCTTGAAAGCTGAAGTACTTAATAGATCTAGCATATATAGATCTAGAATTGACTCCTTGGACTTCAGAATATTTTATTTTTCTAGTAATAGGGACTTGCTGGATCTATGATTAATACCTCTTACTCTTGCTAATAATTTTATCATGACAGTAGGCAGTCATCTGCCACCAGGTATCACAAGAAGAATACATATGTATATTTCACATTATTATTATTTTTTTTTGCTTTGGTTTCATAAAATGAATAAATATTTGGGACAGAGCATGGTGTTTTTCCTCTTTCTTCATTATGGAGTGAGATTAGTAATACAACTTGACCATGATGAGCAGTTGTCACCAAGAGAGAGTAATAATACTTGAAATTCACTAGATTGTTTTGTTCACACTGTGGCTGCATTCCCATGTAATGATAAGCCAGAATTTAGAATTGCATGAGTAGGAATGAACTCATGCAAAGCTTGATTTGTCATTTATATATGAGTGAGTAATTGTGGTTTTAAAAAAACAGCGCAGACTTCAAAAACCATCCAAACAATTTGCTTGTTTATGAGCTTATTTAAAAACATAATTCCAGATTTGCACACAAGGACAAACCAGAAATCTGCTGTTTTGAAAATAAATTCTAGTTTATTCTTTCTTGTAGGTGTGCTTAGACCCTTACTGGCATATTCCTTCTCATGCATATAACTAAATTACTTGCCATTTTGTGCAAACTCATTTATGTTGATAGGCTGTTTTTCAGATGTGAAGGTTTGTCTTTTTTTTTTTTTAAGCTTTTAGCTTTAGTATGCTATGTTAAGTAGAAAGTATTAAAGACAACCTTTTCCTTCTCCCAATAATGTAAAGAGTGGTACTATTTTAATGTAAATTATCTCTGATCTACCATTGGGATCTGCAGAAGATTATGTTCAAGTCTAGTATGAGTTCTTGGAAAGTAACAAGAGTAATAGGTCCATTTTATATATATATATATATATATATATAT